TAAAATGGGAGTTTTGGGTCGAGGTAGAGTTTGGTTTTAGCTACTAGGTAGTATTCAGGCGTTTGGGTATGGCTTCACAATGTGTGGACTTTGTTGGTCATCTTCAATGGTATGAACGTTTAGACTTGCCTATCTCATGGTCATATCGGACAGAACTTGTACTTGTGGCTGCACTAGCCAGATCAGACCTTTGTACATAGTCGTATGAATAACGCGATTGAGAATATGCAGTCATATGCAAACATGCATACATACGATCCTGCGGTTATTCATCTTCTGAAATCAAATAATTGTCTAGTATAAGTGCTATTGCTTGCCCGCATCTTATACTGTCCATGGGTAGGTACTTTGTCGAGACTCGATCCCACGGCATCATGCCGCATTACCAGTTACGGCAAGGCGGGACCCCCTACCCCAACCGTCCCTGAAGACGTAGGCCCAGCCCCCTGTAGAACAGTGGGGATCTGTGACCTATCCGGCAGCCTAGGTTGGAACCTTTGGTCGTCGCATCACCTTGCTCTCCTTCTCCGGTCTGCTTATCTCCATCTCTCCCTCTTCCTTCACCTCGAGGAATTCTGCTACTCAGCATCATTATCATCATCTACTGCAATCCTACTCTTCCATCACATTAATCCACAATGAAGTTCCTACAAACCTCTCTTATCGCGGCCGCCTTGCCTGCTGCCCTCGTCAGCGGTCGCTTCGTCATCGAGAGCGAGGGCGACAATGTTCAGCTCGACGAGCCGGCCAAGTACCTCATCGAGCTGAGCCCCGGCGAGACACAATGGGTTACTGAGGAGGACAAGTGGGATCTTAGACGTGTATGTCCATCTCTCTGAAGCCTGTCTGCAGCGTCAACATCTCCCGACTAACGTCTTCATCTGGTGTAGAACGGTCAAAACTTCATGGACATCACCGACACACAAGAGCTAGGCACTCTCCGCGCTCGGACCCAGAGCCAAGCTTCTGTCGCGTTTCCCGACAAGTGCGTCAAGCAGAAGGAGGTTGGTGAGCTGGCTGGCCACCTGACCAAGGACGGGATGCGCAGGAATCTCGAGAAGCTGACCAGCTTCCACACCCGATACTACAAGTCCGACTACGGCCGGCAGTCATCAGAATGGGTCTTGGAGAGGATCAACGGTATCATCAAGGATGCTGGCGCCGAGGACACCGTTACTGCGGAGCACTTTGGCCACTCATGGCCGCAGAGCTCGGTCATTGCGAGAATCCCTGGCAAGACCAATACCACCGTCATCATTGGCGCTCACCAGGATTCCATCAACCTGTGGCTCCCCTCAATTCTGGGCGCTCCTGGCGCCGACGACGATGGAAGCGGCACGGTTACCATCATGGAAGTATTCCACACGCTGCTTAAGGCCAAAGACGTTGTTGGCGGGTCTGCGCCCAACACTGTCGAATTCCACTGGTACAGTGCTGAGGAGGGCGGTCTCCTGGGAAGCCAAGCCATCTTCCAGTCATACGAGAAAGAGGGCCGTGACGTCAAGGCCATGCTCCAGCAGGACATGACTGGCTTTGTCCAGGGAACCGAGGAGGCAGGCAAGCCAGAGAGCGTTGGTGTTATCACCGACTTTGTCCACCCCGGCCTCACTGCTTTCATAAAGAAGGTCATCGAGGAGGTAAGTTGATTCTATCTATTCTTAGAAAATCTGCACAAAGCATTGTTAACATTTTTCCTACAGTACTGCAGCATTCCCTGGGTGGAGACCAAGTGCGGCTATGCTTGCTCTGACCACGCCTCTGCGTCAAAGGCCGGTTACCCTTCTGCCTTTGTTATCGAGTCTGCATTCGAGAACTCGGACCAGCACATCCACGGTACCGACGATCTCATCAAGTATCTGTCTTTTGACCACATGCTTGAGCACGCCAAGATGACTTTGGGCTTGGTCTACGAGCTCGCATACCACGACTTTTCTTCAAAGGCCGTTGAGGAGCCATCAGAATTGTAAATAATGTAATATCAGTACCAACCTGTGCATGCTTGAATGGAGGAAATTGTCCCGCCTGAGCATTGTTAAGAATATAATTATTATACAAGATCTTGAGATGATAATCTGCCCCGTACTGTAGAGTCACGCCGAACCTTTTGGTCTAGTCTTCTTTCTATGCCATCTTGTCTAGCTCGTAAACTATCTAAATATCCACTTGTCTTGAGATCTACCTTTGCAGGCCTTTGTGTCTTGTAGGGCCCTTTCAAGCCAGGTATAAAGCCATTGTATTCTTGGAAAATACAGCTTTTAAGCCACCAACAACAGAGAGATGGGACAAAGACGGAGATCTATGATATGCATAAAAGAAACTTGAGAAGAAAGGAAGATGCATTCCGTCCGACATCACACGTGAATCAAATTAATTAACATAGGTAAGGTAGTTATGACGTTTAGATTCATTGATGCCTTTGGGCGAACTGCACATCGCAAACGCTGCAGCTGGGCGGCCCGTTTGGCAGTGGCCCCTGCAAACAAGCAGACCAGTCCATTGTGCCTGTGCCTGTTTGAAGGCACAAAAAAAGCATAAAGCAGAAATCTCAAGTTCGCACTTGGAAGTTTCCGAGGAAACTAAAATTTCCACAAAGCAAGAGCCAGTCTCTGTCAGACAAAGGCCGACTCCAAGTTGAGAGAGCGAGACCCAAAGGTATTTTTTAAAATAAATATTTCTTTTCCCCCTTCGTCTGAGTATTTACTCTGAGCACGAAGCACGGTTTATTTCTCCAAGACTGATTTTGATATCGAAAAGCCTGCAGCTTAGCAAATATGCATCAACAGAATATTCTCAACAAGACCGAGGCCGTTACGCCAAACTCCGGCAAGAAGAGAGCTATTCGGCCAGACGATGAGGTGCTCGATAACGACGACTCCAAGAAGCGCCGGTTTGCACAACACGACGTGCGTATGGCTGGACGTTGTGGCAGCAAAGTGCGCTTTGGTACCACCCAGCCCGCTCTCACGGCATCCGAGTCTGAACAGCCGCAGCGAGGTCGCACACGGTGGCGAGAGGGGAGTGAGCCGCCGAACTGGAACTGTAAGGAGTTCCATGGACGTCAAACCATGAGTGCGAGCTATGATGATAGCCCTGGAGCAGAGAGGAACCCTCTTCAAGACTCTTAGACCAGGAGAGCTGCATCTGCATGAGAATTTCCGTCAAGATGAATATCCGAATGGCCACGACAAGAAAGGCGGAGACGGTATTTTCAATAGAAACGAGTCGAGTATTGCCTTTTCATCTCAGAGGATAGCCGGAGGCTTCCTATTTCATCTTTGTGTGCATTGGACCACCACTGCCAACGATCACTGCCGTCACACCCATGGGAGAAGGCCTCATGCAGTACAACAATGTCGTATGCAACAGCATCAAAAAGTCAACCACTTATGCTCCGCAAATGGGAGGTTTTTGAAGACGCCCCAATGGGAGATATTGATCGGGATTTGGCTTGCATAGTATGGAATCTTGGCGTCGATCCAGGGCTTGGTGGACTTATCAGTTTGGTTTAGGTTTTCGTTTTTGGCGTTTAGGATAGAGGATCAGCCGCGTATGAAAGCCCGATAGAAATTCAGACATTTTTCGACTTCAAGTCATGCTGGGCACCCGATTGTCCGCAGTTGTGGCGTGAGAGAAGATGTGTAGTCTCGCCCATGCTGGCTTCTTTGTGATTGTCGGTTGGTGATTGCTGTTATTAAGTCGGTCAATCTTCTCAAAGACCCATGTCATCGTCGCTATCATCGTCCATATCTTGGCCATGTTCCTCCTCTTCTTCACGCCGCGTGGTTTCGGCACTTGCACCAATTTTGCGAACGCCTTCAGCTACACTAGCAACAAACCCTCTGCTCTCAGCAAGCTCCATGGCCCCGACGCCACGGAGACTCGTGACGCCTTCGCCGTGACTTTCAGGCTGTGTGATTTTAGATCTCATCTTGGCGGATCGAGCTTCTTGCAGGTCTCTCAAAAGAGAGCGTACTTCCGATGCGGATGGAACATCATCGCTCGCGTGTGCGAGAAGCATCTCGGCGAACTCGAACCAATGGTACGGCAGGGCACCTGCTGGAGCTGCAGTCGTGCAGGACGGCAGAAACGGAGGCGACAATATGATGTCGGCATCTGTAGAGTTGAGTCTTCTTGAATTGCCTCTGCTGTCGGCTCTGACGGGCGGCGGAGGGGGAGGTGCCCAATCCTTGACATCGATGGCGGTTTCGTAGGTGACGATTTCGCGAAGGGATTCGGGATGGAGCCATGCCGGGGGCACAATGTTGGCGCGTCGTTGCTTCTTGAGGAGAATTGCTAGCCAGAGAGGTAGGTCGGCGCGGTGTGGCGGGCGAAGCTTGGGAGTCGAGCCCTGTTGTTCACATGGTCAGAAGACGAAGACGAAGGGAAGCTCTCGTTATATGGAATGGCTGACTGAGAGGAGCTCAATGCTCTCGAGGCGCTGGCGGGGAACTACAGTGACAAGCTCCATTTCGCACAGAAAGGCAGCCTCTGAGGGCACTAGGCCTAGGGGGAGAGGCAAGGCCATGGTTTTGGGCGTGGTGATGCTGGTGACAGCTTGAGGCGTGATGTCGTGCAGTCTGGTGCTACTAAGCTGCGTGTCAGTCGTGTTAGAAAATGTCGTGCCCCTCCAACCCAGGAATGCGTGCGACCCACCCGCCAATCTGGTTCCTAGATCTGAAAAGCAGATCTCGCCATCTACCTTAGCCGAATTGACTTTTATAAGGTAGGTAACTACACACGGCGTCTATTATTTATTCTATCGCCACAGGACATCTTATTTATTTACATCAATACCTTACAAGTTATCGTCGTAATCTTGAAGTGATCCACAACGTAAGAACATCTTTAAAGCTAAACACAAGACTTACGCAGGGATGACCGTCAGCGCTTAGAGAACTGCCAGGCTAGCACATGAGACATTGCTGAGGCATCATGGCTACAACAGATTGCTCTTTATGAATAGAAATAACAAGACTCGGAGCCACTCCCAAAAGTACTAAGCCATAGTAATATAGTGGTAGTATATCAGTTTGTGGACCAAGCGAAGCACTGACGGCCGAGGTTCGATTCCTCGCTACGGCATTCTTTTTGCTCTTTTTGCGATTGTTTATGGCCAAGATAATAATTTGGTAATGGATATATGCCAGAGCTCTTGAAGTACTTTTTGTGTTCCCCTTGAAAAACTTGCGAGTCCATGCCTAGGGGGGAAACAGGGATGATGTTTCTTTCTTGGTTGATGTGGAGTCCCCAATAGACTTCATTCTTAAATCTTGCTACCAATGACGAACCACTCTGTACTGCAGCTTCCCATAGCTGAATAATGTTGTTACATTTTAACATTTCATTGTACAGGTCAATAATAGGCGCATGTTGACAGTTAGAACCCGCAGATGGGTTGCTGTGACTGTGACAAAGATAACTTTGACAGACGTTGGAAAGAAGCATCGTCAGGCCCTGCATTACATCTTCTAAGCCAGGTCTCACGGCTTAATTGAAACCTCCACATCCGATGAAATAAAAGCTCTACTATAATTAGTTTCATATCCGTCTTCCGTCTTACTCTAGTCTCACTAGTTTGTCTAGCTGATCAAATAAGCTTACCTATTCCTGGATACCTAGTAATAAGACCTCGATGCTACCACGTATGAAGCAAGTATTTAACGGAGCCGAACTCAACCTTGAAACTCAATACAGATAATCACTACTCCAGATTTCACTTAACATTGCATCCCTATCAAGAATTTGCCATGCCGTCCATCCCTCGCGCCACAATCCTAGCCTTTGGCATAACATCGTTTATATCAGGATGGGCGTCTCTCATCTCACCCAATCTAATGATTGAATCCCTCAACCTACCTACAGGCGCCCTACCAGCCGTAAAAGGCAACGCTCTGGCAGCCATAGCCATGGGCATTTATTACACACTGGCCGCGTACCAAAACAACAGGGCATTCTTCGCGGCCACTGTTCCGATGAGGCTGCTTACAGCTACGGTATTCTGGGCACAGGATTGGAAGGCTGCGTCGATCTGGGAGGGTGCGGGTGCTATTTTAACTGCAGTGGCTTTGGTCTTGTCATAAGAAGCGAACCAAGAGTATCACATCTCAAGCACACACCCACCAAATGAAACAACGAGTTAATGATACCATTTCTGCTGCAATAGCCGAGATTATCCGGTCTGACTGCATTTCAATCTGTCTTTTCGTTTTCTCTCCCCTCTTAGAAATGAGTCCTTCGACGTGAGTCACAAGAAGCTATTCTGGATATGGAGACACGGGAATTCGCCGGTGGAGTTGGATACGTCCATCGGGCAGGTGGGACAGTGCGATTAAGAGGTAGAAATGCCAATGTTAGACTCATGGCAGAGAGCAGTGAGAGACCATGTGATGGACAGCTTCATATAAGAATAGACACGCAAAACCAAGTGAAGTGTCCAGCAGAATGAAGCATGTGAGATCCTGCGAGCAATTAGTATATATAAAGAAACGTGCTTGAGCCTCACACAGTGCCAAAACATAACGCCTCTATCACAAGACAGCCACTTTACGCGCGAATTGTGCGCGCAAAACCCTCCGTGCAGGCCAGTAAATCTCTCCTCATGGCTTGCGCCCGAGCTGTGATTGGCTGGAGATAGCTGATGAATCACACTGTGTCAGGAGGGACGCGATGGAGAACATCGAAGTGTGGGCTTCGGGATGCAGATATAGGGAGCAACGTCAGCTAAGATAGGCAATCCTTGCTGCTGCCTCGTCTCGTCGCATCTGATCTTCCCCTGATCAAGCCTGTCATCCGATATAGGACTTGGAATCCCGTCGCAGAGGCCCATTCGAACAAAACAGCTCGACAACCCTTCGATCTCACTTCTCGACATCGTCCTCCGTAAACTGTAAAAAGTCATCGTCACCATGGCCATGTACAGCGCTGTCCCGCCTCCTGAGGAGGCCCCTCCTCCCAGCCAGCTGACGGCAAGCATCATCTTCCCAGCTGCTCCGTCATCTGGCGCTCCCATCGACATCGAGGCCTGGACCATCTCGGCGCTTCAATCGCTCAGCGTTTCGCCCATTGCCCGCGGCACAGGGTCCCCTCTGTCGATCCCTCTCGATGCGCTCCCAACGCCCTCCAAGCGCTCTGCTAGCCGGCAGCAGGTCACGATCACAGCCGCTACCGAGGAAGTTCAGGTTACTGTTGTCGCTCCTCGCAGACCGCCATCTGCTCGGGACAGTATGAAGCGCAGAGAGGCCGTCCTGAAGGGCAAGGAAGGTAGCCGGCAGCGTCGGCGATGGGAGAACGGTATTGAATACTGCCTTGTTTAGATCAGACAAGTTTCAAGCACCTTAGACACAGGTGGCTGATGATGAGGGAATCCCCCCTTTACAGATCGTCTCATGCACGTTCCCAACGTCCAGCCGCCCGAGCCTGTCGACTGGGAAGTCCACCCGACACATCCCATCCACCGAGTCCCTTATCAGCTCGCCCAGTTCTGGGACCACGGCGTGCGCCAGCGCATTCAGGACAAGACGGCGAAGCTCCAGGCCGCGCGCAAGAAGCAGCAGCTCAAGACCGGTAGCGCAACAGGCCTAGGTGTGGGTGAAGTGCCGCGCGACCTTCGAGAAGCGACCAAGCGCAGCCCAGTAATCCGCACCTGGGTCAAGGCACTCGAGGAACCTGTGCGACAGTACATGGTTGACGAGCGTCGGAAGCCAAAAGCGGAGGATCAAGCCAGCAATGGCAATGATGACGACGTGGATAGCGCGGCGGAGGAGATGGACTCTGATGATGAAGAGATTGTCTTCGTGGGCCGCAACGGCAGAATGAGAGACTTGCAGGAGAAGAGGGCTGCTGCGGCTGCGGCTGCTGCAAGATACAGGACTGCCCACCGACAAGTGTCACATGAGACGGTTGACTCCGGGCTGGTGTTTGATTCCTTTGGCGATGATGAGAGCGCTGCTTTCAAGTGAGTTTCCCCCTTTTCCTCGTGATACACCGTGTAAGTGTTGGAAAGCTGACTTAACATCCATCTTCAGGCGGTGGCTGACACATGCCATCTCGGACTACTACGGCCTGACATCAAGGTCAGTCACCTTGGCCAACGCCCAGAGGGTAGTATACATCGGCTTGAAGCAAGTTCCGCAGCTGAAGAAAGCTGTTCCGCTCATTGACCATCTGCCACGACCTTTGTGGGAGATCTGCTGAGTGTAGCCAAAGATGGACGAGTATGATCTTTACAGAGTAAAGAATGTGGAGACTTGGGTTATACAGGACCTCATTCACCATATACAGGCATCTTCTTGAGTATATTGTTTTACTAGACATATATGTTCCGTTCATTTAATACATCTAGACGAATAGAGGTGGTACTGGGAGATGACAAACGTACATTTGGTTTCAATGTAGAATCCATATATTCTTTCGCCAGATATCCTCACATCGCCACTGTTGTCCACCAAGGATTACCGTCCAAAAGGAATATGCTGAGGAGGCTGGTCTCCCCATCTTCGATCTATTGCTTTTGCTGTCAGGAGCAACCCTTTGTCTCCACCAAGCAATGGTCCAAATCTGGCAACTCGTTCTGGCACTGACATGTTGAGAAACACGGCCAATCCCGACGCTCCACCCTGCTCGAAAAGCGTTTTGGAAAGCACCTTGGCAGCGGTTACATTCATGCCCGCTCTCCTGAGGAATAATTCCCACGGAGTTTCTTCAGAAGACAGAAATCTTGATAGCGCCTGGGATCTTGAGGAATATTGACACATAAAAGCCAGAACCCACGAGGCCATTGTCTCTGTCGCTCCTGGGATAAAGTGTACATTGACGTCCCCATCTAGTGCGACTGCAAAACTCAAAAACTCAGCATAAGCGGCTGTATCCGACGGAGCCACTGTTCCCATAAACTCTCCCTTGGGCTGCGATTCTGATACTAGAACAATCAGAGTTTCATATCTCTGGCTCACTTTCTGCACACGCTCCCGTAGTGGAGTTTGAGACTGAGAGCCTGGGAGAGAGCGTTGCCTGACCTTGAGAAGATTCGTGATGATGATTCCTGTACCAGGCGAAAGGGATATATCAGCTTCAAAACTCAAAGGCGAGACAGTCTCTTTGAGCTGAGTAACGCCTGGTAACCTTGCGGTAGTGTTGTGGCGCGAAAAGTCAACGTCGATTAACTTCTCGGGAGCCCACATACTCTCTAATCGTCTCAATATTGGCCTAGCAAGATCAACAGAAATGATAAAAGACGACTTCTCGGGTGGTATCTCAATGTTGGGAATCAGCACGGGAGGCATCTCTTCAGTCATCTGGAGAGGTACTATCTCGCGATCGCTGGTTGCAGATGCTTCGTTGCCAGGGATAGATGACAAAGTATCTGTACATTGACTCATCCCAGCGGGCTCTGTATTCAGGCGCGGTCTTTTTATGCCCCTTAGTTCCATAAAGTTGTGGAGGAGGATGCTCGTGGCACTCGTGTCATAAGACTTTGGTAATAGTCTTGTGCCATCGTCGTCGAGTTTCCTACGAATTGGGCGATTGACTTCATGAGAGTCCCTAATTACCGAGATGCTTGTTTCGTTTCCTTGTTCCGAGTTCATCCAATTTGGACCCTCGTAATGCTGGGTGCTAGCAGGGGGCGCTTCGTCTGTTTCATCGTTCAATAAGAATGCCGATTCGATCTCTTCGTCGTGTTGAATACATAGGACATCCAAACTTGGCTTTATCGAAACGAAATCAAGACTGCTTAAGAGAGGGGTGGAATCGAGAGAAAGATATTTTGCAATTATATCATCTGACACCGCAATTTCATCCACCATGATTGGCCGCATTTTCTCTAACGGGAAAACTGCCCACCTGAGAGAAGATTCTGAAGATGGATCCCGCGGAATTGGCAAGATATTAAAACAGTGAGGTATACTTTTCCTCAAGAATGCAAAATGAGTCTTCGCGGTAAAGTGCCTAAGAGACCATTCAGGAGGTGGGATGTCGAAATCAAGCAGAGGGACGGGGACACGACATAGGGAATCAGCTGGATGAAAACTCTCTTGGTTCACCAATTGGTTAGCATAATAATGCCGGTCCTCAAGCAGTGTCAT